ATTAATTACACAATTTTGTTAGATAAAGAATAGAACAAATGTATTGAAATACAAATAACAATATAGGAAACAATATGTGCGAAAATTTTATAATAATATTTAATACTCCAAAAATACTATTTCACAAATAATTTCAAGATGAAGTTATCATTAAAAATACCAAAATTTCAGAGAAATATAAAACCATTTTTGTAACAAGTGAGCATTTACAAAAGTTGTCAAATATTTTCAAAACATTTCATTTTTTCCGCTGATGAAAATCTTTTTATTTCACATAAAAGCATTCTCAATTCTCTTTTCAAAAGCATTTCTCTTTTCAAAAAATTTTTTCATCAAATGTTAGGAGTGACTAGAACTCAAATAAAATTATGTAAAAAATATTAAATAAATTTCAAATCAACAAATTTTGACTAGAATAGCTGGAATAATGAAATAAAGATCGTTTATAACAGACAGTGTTATTATAAACTGGTGAATTTGCGTAAGTAAAAAATTGCAAGGAGTTATGGGTAAAAATTTAGACTAGATTGACTCATCATTTGAATAGACAGATAAATGTTTTTTTTCACAATTGTCTGTTTTATTCTATCTAATTAGAGTGCGTGGTTATATAAATGCGAAAATGCAATTGCAATGATTTAAACTTAAAAATTGAAATTTAGTAATCATACCTGTAAATATATTAAAATCTCAATTTTGAAATTTTTTTTGGTGATTATTTTGTTTTTTCCAATTGTACGTCGGAATACTGTTGATATAAATTATCCAGTTTTCTTACATAAGTGATCACCAAGTTATTACTATTTAGTTAAATAACATTACATTTGGTTTGATGAAGTGAATAATGTTAGAAATTTAAAATTTGTGAAAACAGTTAAAATTTGAGATTTTAAAAAAAAAATTTACGAATAACTCCGGTAGTAGAAATCTTCCTGAGCAGCAGCTGACCCTGCAGATTATTTTTTATCTCACATTCCAAAAACAAGCTAAAATTATTACTGAGAGAAGAAACAGATAAATCAGTTTAAAATTTTAAACTTGCTCAATTATTATTTGGCGCGGTCGCATACAAATTTGAATTTATGAACGCAGATTTACTCTGTAAATTCTGCTGCCAGCTGTATATCTTAAGTGTAGTTGAAAAGTATAAAATACTGGCGCATACTTTCAATAGACATTTAAATTAATTTTCCTATGCTTTTCATTTTAAAAAACTATTTTCACTTGTTTTAGATTATAACCTTATATGAAAATATAATTTCTTATATAAGTTACATTATAAATAAAATGCTAATTCTAAGAATAATTTTTATGAAATTCGCTTCTCATACATTGGTCCCTTTATTCTAATACTCATAAAATCGGAAATTTATAAATTGCTAATATCGGAATTTCCTAAATTATTATTCCTTAGAATAATTTTTTATAAAATTCTTTTCTCATACATTGGTCCCTTTATTCTAATATTCATGAAATCGGAATTTTATAAATTATTAATTGTTAGAATAATTTTATAAAATTCGGTTCTCATACATTGGTCCCTTTATTCTAATACTCATAAAATCGGAAATTTATAAATTGCTAACATCGGAATTTCATAAATTATTATTTCTTAGAATAATATTTTTATAAAATTCTTTTCTCATACATTGGTCCCTTTATTCTAATATTCATGGAATCGGAATTTTATGAATTATTAAATCTTAGAATAATTTTTATAAAATTCGTTTCTCATACATTAGTCCTTAATACTGATAAAATTGGAAATTTATAAATTGCTAACATTGGAATTTCATAAATTATTATTTTTTAGAATAATTTTTTGTAAAATTCTCTTCTCTTTCATTGGTCCCTTTATTCTAATACTTATAAAATCAGAAATTTATAAATTGCTAACATCGGAATTTCATAAATTATTATTTCTTAGAATAATATTTTTATAAAATTCTTTTCTCATACATTGGTCCCTTTATTCTAATACTCATAAAATCGGAATTTTATAAATTATTCATTCTTAGAATAATTTTTCATAAAATTCTTTTCTCATACATATTATTTATTAAAATACTCATAAAATTGGAATTATATATCTTAAAAAATATTTTTTATACAAATAATTCAATACTGATTCTTGAATACTGTGAAGGTTCAATCTAAACACATTATAAACAGTGGCTTATGTAGAACTTTGTTAATAATTTTCATGTTATTAAAAATAATAAATAGAAATATTTTCATTAAAAAAAATAATTCATGAAGAATTTGCTTCATAAGGAAATTAGAATTGTTGAATAAAAAGAGTTTTTAATTAATCCATTTTTTAAAAATTTTGTCATAAGTGTATGGAATTATTTTACAATAACTAATAACTCAAAAACATTTTGCGAAAGTTTGAAGAAAAATATATTTGCTACTAATTTTTAGTTGCAAAAAAATTAATTAAAAACGTTCTTAAGGTTAGACGAGTTCAAAATATTTTACAAAGATCTATTTTATATCTTCCAATAAGATAACGTTAAGAGAACTTAAATAATCACGTTTAAAATAAAGTGTTAAAAATAATACTTTATCGTTAACAATTATGTTTCCTCACAATTATCTTTAAAATACTAATTTTTATACATATAAAATTTTCCCAATATCAAAATTTTTTCAACAGTTTTAATAAATTTCACAAAAGAACAGTTGTACGTATATCCGAGCTCGATTCATTTCCTTAATATATTCCAGTTAATCCTAAAACATCGTCATAATTAGTTTTAGATACTTTTTTTCTTCATTTTATTAAATACCAACAATGCCATATTTCAGAATATTATTAAGCAATTGATACTACTTATAACAATGATATTTCATTAAGAAAACTAGCATTTTTTCATTGTTTTAACATTTTTCAGATATTTGCTGTGAGATGTGCAGTAGGCAGTGAAATATAAGAACATTTTGTGCAACTGTTTATACAAAATGGAATAAAATCATAAATTATACAAATAAACATTTATACACTAAAACCATAACTAAAAAATAAAACGTAAACAAATATTCAAAGTATGAAAATATTTTATAAAAAAATTAACAACATAACAAAATGATTAAATGCTAGGAAAATGCGAAAACAAAACTAATGCTGAAACATTTAGTATCGCCGTAAAATTATTTATCAGCAGACGGCAGTTGTACAGCGTTTATTACTGTTATATATTTTTATTATAAAATTATAAGCAAATGTTATTGTTATATCATGTCATATAACTATTATAATTAACAATAATTTTAAATGCTGCTTTACATTTTCAGAAACTTAAATTACGTATTAAGATGTCTAATATTTGCAAATATATGATGCATTAAGGCAATACATGCTAAATTAATGAATATTGTTTTTTCTTCTGATATGCTATCTTATCATATACGATATATATTTTCATCAGTAATCACTAAACTATATGTAATTTACCACATTCGTGATTCTGATACAAATGTTTATTTTGTCAGGATTTTTTTAGCATTTTTTTAATGATTTTTTTAAAAATAATTCATTTTAAAAAATTGAAACAAAATATTGGCTTAGATACAAGTTTCAAATCGATTAAAGCAAAACTGATTGCTGAAAAAAATTGAAAGACTAGAATGACTAAAACAAATATTTTAAACTTTTTCTCAGTTTTTTAGGTTTTTTTCATGCATGCTGATTGAAAGAAAAGACTAAGACAAAAATTATTATTTCTAACTAAATTTTAAAATTTTACGAGAGCAAGCTGGGGCCGCTTTTGTTCAAGTAGATTTATTTTTTTTTTTTATTTTCCTTTTTCCAGTTCTGATATGTGTTTAAACATATTATTTCTCTGAAAATGATGATTAATTTTGAAAATCTGTTACAGTAACCCTGATTTGGTAGGATATAAAAATCATTCATTGAAACTATAAACAAATACAATCCTAACTTGAGCTATAAACAAAACAAAAAATTGAATATTGGACAGCTGTCTTGACTAAATTAAGCCTGGTGTAGGCAAGAAAAAAAAATAACTCAAGTTATTTTCGATATCAAAACCAATTAACTATTGCTGTTTGAACAGACGATATGGCTATATAAGTAATAGAAAGAGGAAAAAAATGGTACAAAAAATAGTTGTTCCGTGGGTAATATTAGGTTGATAAAAAAATGCTTTGTTGACGCAGCTGCTTATATTAATGCATGATGGAGGTTAAAGAACTTCCATTCAATAGTCGATCACAATGAAAATTTCATATTCCGATATTTCGTGAGAGAATAATTCAAAGGTATTCATAACTAATGTATCGGCTTCCTCAATAAAATATTTGTTTTTAAATTTTTCTTCTATTAAAAACACGCTTTATCAACACATGTTAGCTTTTAATTCTGAACATAGCTCAGAATGGGAATTTAAGAAAATGGACACAGCACTTGACTCCGTTTTTCAAACTTCTATATAAAAAAAAATTTTTTTTTGTATGAAAAAAAAAAGAATAAACTAATGGATTAAAATAAATTTGCAATGCAATGTAGTTAATTTGCCTACATTCATTTTTTTTAAAAAAAATAAATTTCCTTTTAAAGTTTTTTTTTACAAAGCTCTCACTGGTCCTATTTATCTTAGCTATACTTATATGAATTTAGATATTTATACGAATTTAGATATTTATACGATTTCAGAAATTTAACGTTACGTTAGATACGTTATACGAATTTAGATATTTAAAAACCGTTTCATCATTTAGTGCAAGGAATCCCTTCCTTTTTTTACTCGTTGCCTACTTTAGAAGATAAAATTCTTTCAACGTCCCCTTAAAAAAAACTTTAATAAACATCTTTCAAACAATTATTTGCTAATTTAATTAATTATTATTATTATTATTTTACATTTGCTGTTTTATCATACTGTTAATTTATTGAAAATTCCTATTGACCAATGATTCATTTCAATTTAACGATCTTTTATCTTTCATTTTTAAACTAGCCTTTTTGTAAAAAAGGAACACTCGCTGCAAACTTTTAAGCAGAGCAAAAAATAACTTTAAACCGAATTTATTTCAAAATTGAAAATTATTGATACATTATGTTCATGAGAATTTTAAATAGAAAAAAAAATTCACCTTAAACTTTTACGTACAAATGAATTTTCTGTGTAGAACAACAAAGTTTCATTCATTTTCGCTAAAAAAACTGGTTAGTAACTTTTCTCTCAATAAAGTGCACAATTTATAATTACTTTAATAACATATACTTTATGTAAAGCTAAAATTGTTTTTTTTTTTAATTCAAAATTTAATATTAATTTTAAAGTGTACTCAATGTTTTTTAAAAAAATTTCTTATATGCAAGCTTGCATCTTCTAGAAAATCCCAACGCCCCCTGGGGCGCAATAGCACCCATATCGAAAAACCTAAGGTTTAGTGATTTGAATACGAAGAGATCGCCTGAAAAATTATATCTATAATATACTCCGAAGTCTCGGACTTTGCTCGTAATGGTGATAATAAAAAAAAAGTTAGGAAAAGTGAGTACGAGCGAGTAATTCCTTTTAGTAGTTGAATTTAGATAAAAAACATTGAAAAGGAGCGTTTTTTGTGTCCATTTTCTGGAACATGTTTCATTGAGTCGTGAACATTTTTTTTTAAACACACACGTTAAAGAGAAAAAGCAAATTAAATGCTAAATGTTTGCTTATCGAATAATAAAACTAGATTAATTAAACTTATGATGGCGGTGCTGGGACTCACAAATTTATTAAACTCAATGACAAGTAGCTATAAATAATTTTTTATTCTTCATAGAAATTATTAACTAAAAAGTGTCGTTAAAATGAAACTAAAACCTTTGTCAACGCAAACAAAAAATATTTTTTACTTATAATAGTTTTTTTTTTTCATCCGAAATGTATTGGCGAAATAAGACCTCGCCAATTTTCATAGAATTATATTAATTTCAGACGAGATTTTTTAGAAATCGAAATAAGAACAAATAAAACTGGGAGATTCGTGTTTGTTTTCCACGCGACAGGTTTATTATCAGTAGCTACTAGTGGCCTTGATGAATAGAACGAAACTTTTCATCCGAATCATTTTTGAATCCCTCGAACAAGAAGAAAAAGAGGCTTTTCCCCGAAGAATGTGTGTACCCTTCTGACAGGTGCAAACGATAGAAAAAGAAAAATTCTGTTTTCTTTTCTTTTTTTGGGAAACGTTTGTTTAAACACTGGTGACCAAGCTGAAAATTCATTGGGGGGTTGGTTTTGTTTGTTGTTGTCATACGACAAATGCGTAGTCAAAATTGCACGAAATTATTAATTTTTTTTTTACATAGAGCTATACATTTTCCAGTTATCTTTTTAAAGGTCACCTTAGTGAAATTGAGTCATAAATATAAATTTAATCGTCCTACTTGATGAATCATGCCGTTTTTTTTTTCCTTCTAAAAAAAGTACGTTTTTTTAATTAAAAAAAAATGGGATACCTGTTTTGGATTCCCCTGAAAGATGGATATTCCATTTAAATAAATAAACATCCAGCTGATGATCTTAACAGAAACTTTCTCTAAATAAACGAAATAGAAAATGATAAATTGATTGAAAATCTTATTCATTCAATAACTTATATATTTATCTCATGCTCTAGGCTAATTCAAAGAGTCTTCAGTGTTTTTCGTTTTTTTTTTAATTTGCCTGATATATTTAGACTTATTTCTATCAGCAAACATGATTTTAGAATAATTAGGAAATGTATGAATAATAACTTAATCAAACTGAATTTGCTTTGATTTATTGAAATATAACTTCAATATGGCTATTTACAAAAAAACTTTCACTACTTTGAATATTTTGCCTGAAATAAATCAGGCTCATTGAGCATTGAATGATATATTTTTAATTTAGGTTAAAGGTATGTTGGCTCTGTGTAATAGACTATAATAAGCTTAAAAAATTATCAGAGTGAATAAAAAATATCGGAGACATTTCCAATTAGCCTGGTTTATTTCGAAATGATGGTAATTATTTTAAAAGATTCCTATTATTTACGTAGCCTACGACATAAAAACGTTTAAGGAATTAAATATACCTTAATGCATCACATAACATTTTTGGATTTTTCGCACAAAAAAATAAATAAATGAATGAATAAATCTTGTAATTTAAATACTTTGTCGTGAGCCCATCCCATACTTAAGATATTGATTGATATATTTTGCAACTTAAATGTTAATTCTCGCTAAACATTTTATTAAAAATATTAAGTTTACAAAATTTTTCATGTCAGGAATCGTTTTTTGTTGGAATAGATTAGAAATAAGTCTTAAAAATTAGTAAATTGCACATTTCTAAGTTGTCTTACTGATTCTAAATGTTTCAGCAATTTTGCAAACTGAAACAATCGCATTTTGAAAAAGTGATATTCAAATTGCGATTACTTCACTTTGAAAATAATGATTTGAAAAATAACATAAAAACTTTCTGTTCCAAAGAAAGGAACTAAAGATCTTTGAAGTTTCTTAAGCAGACTAGATATACCATATTTAGTGTATTCTGTAAAGGTTGAATATCTCACTTATTGTACCTCCGAAAAAGAAAAAACAAATGGCGAAAAGAACGTCCAAGGTGAAGGTTTACGTTGAGAGGGGACGGACGACTGGTGACTGTATGTGCATCACTTGTCTGTTCTCACTTGGGTGATGCTTGTTGATATGCCTGGTCAGACCAGCTGAACTGTAAAAGACACTGGGACAGTATTTACATTGTATGCCTTTCAGTTCATCATGTTTGAAAGTGTGTTGCTCCATCTCAGTCTTTGTATGGAAACTCAGTCCACAAATGGTACAAACAAAACTGTTTTTGTCGGACTTTTCGTTTTCAGGAGGCGGGGTTATGTTAAGTCTCGCCAGAGCAGTGCGCTTTTCCGAAATGCTCTTGGAAAAAACGCTTTGAATAACATCGCTTTCCAACTGACCATTTGCATTGACCGTGAGATGGGAAAGCAAATGTTTCCTGAAATAGAAATATTGACTGAATTTCTTACTACAAAGATGGCACTCAAAGTCCTTATCTTCTCCAGGCGTTGACAGTCGCCGATTGGACGTCACTTCCGGCGAGGACGTGTCCCTGATGCTCTCCGTGTCGCTCGGATCCGTGCTGAAACCATCTCTGACTTTATTGATCACCTCTGACTTTATTGATATTTTAAGTTCGTTTTTATTGCCTATTTTGGCAGAGTTATTTGAGAGCAGTTTGGGCGGGTTTCCTGCATTGGAGTTTTTCATGCCGGGTAATGGACGTGGCTTATGCCATCTTCTATGGGATGCCAAATTGGCGGGACAATTGAAAACCTTGTCACACTCCGGACATCTATACTCGACGTGAACTATGCGGGAACATCGGTGTTGGGCAAGCCCAAAGGCGTCATCATAATGTTCCCTGCAGAGTTGGCAAACATAGTCTCCAATTTTATTTTCGATTTTTGCCAATTCTGCTCTTGCCTCCTCTGTAATGACAACTACATTTAGGCTGGGATCGATGTCACCTCTTTTCACGGCACCAGGGTGAGATGTCGCCAACATTACTTCGTCGTCGTCGATGTCCCTAATGAATGTTCCAGAAACTGGAGAGCTTTTGTCTTCGTCAAAGTTCAACTTCCGAACCACTTTGGCTTTCTTGGCGGCTTTTGTTTTGGCTTCAGATAATGAAGCGTCAGCAGATCTTTTCTTTGGTGGCTGACAAGATTTGGGGGTGGAGGGTTGAGAATGAGTAAGATGTTCGCTACTACCTGTTGAAGCTGGTGCCGAATGAGGCGGCGACAACTTTGACTTCAAAGGTGGAGGTGTTGATGGCAGGTATGTGCTGTCGAATCTCTGGAAATACAATACTGAGTTTCGAAAAGGTTGGTAGATATGATTTCCAATTCTTCCATTGGATGGAGAGCGAGGAATCTTGTCAGTAGTCAGGGCAAGTGGTACATCCTGTAAATAAAAATTTGAGATACTAATGAGTGCATGAGTTCGAATAAGCGAAAAAGTTAGCAACTAAGGAACAATAATATGAACTGGCTTAAATCAACATTTCATTCTGTTTCTTAATAATTATCTTCCAAAAATCTGTACGCTCAAAAAATGTGAAAAGAAAAAAAGCATCTCTCAAAATAAAAATAAAAAAGTAAGAAAAATTTTCATTGTTTAAACTGTTATTAGGCATATTTTTAAATTTTTCGATATAAGACTAACTAATATATAAGACTAATACTAATACTAACTAATATATATATAATAATATAAGACTTTCGAAAGACTAATTTAAACCTTCTCAATGCTCTTTCATATTTTGCTTAGTAAAACAATTATGAGTAAAATAAGTTTGATATTAGTAACACCGTAATAAAGATATCCAGAGTTTACTATGAAGTAAAGATAACTAAAATATCCCAAGTGTTATTTGCCAGTTGAGCAGAATTTGCTATAAAATACAAAGGAACATTGCAGTTAAAATTCAGGTGCGAAATTATTTCGACTTAGTTGATCGAATATATTCCTTAAAAAACGTAAGCACTTGCAAATAAATAAATAAAAAATTATGGAGTTGTCATAAAAAAAAAAAAATCCCTTTTAAATGGGCCTATACCCGCTGAACCAATTAAATTAAATTTTAAAAAGGGGTGGACTAAAATAAATATTTGACAAAATGGATTAGAAATTCTGATGATTTATAACAATTAAGCTCTCACGACCACGCTTACAGTAAAACAGTTTCTAAATTTTCGGATGGCAACGCTCACTTTTTATTATCGAAACTCAATTTTCATAGTTAGATTGATATTTTTAGCAGGAAAAGTAGCACTCCCAAGATTCATGAAACAGGCACAAATCACTGTGATTTACTCTTTTTTTTTTTTTTTTTTTTTTTTTTTTTTTTTTTTTTTTTGCGTCTTTGTCGGAGCCCTCTCAGTAAAACTGAATCTCTGACTCGACGAAATCGTATAAAATATTTTTGTGTGCAGCGCCACTGTTTTTAATGCTGAAAATATAATTATAAATTTATTATTTGTGTTTTATTGTGGGAATCGTATGTTAATGAAAAAGCTGGGTGTTTCTATTCGTAAATTTCCAAAATTAAAAGTAATTTAGCTGAAATTGAAATTCTTTTAACACAACCCAGAAGACAAAGGAATTCTTAAGTAAGGTAATGAAACGATTTTCGGAACCATTTTTTGCCAAAAACGAATAGACATTTTCATTACATAAGGAGATAAATTACGAAAACTTTTTTTCAGATCTAGATGTATTACAAAGAAGATTCAATAAGAGAAAGGAAGGAAAAAGGAAAAATGCAAAAAAATTATTTAAGTTACAAAATCTTGTCGCTTTTTTTCTTTGATAATTTTATCAGAATTGCTCGAGTTCACAAAAGAGGAAAGGCAGTTTGTCTTGAATATAATTTTTAAAGTTAGAATTTTTATATATAAACAGTTTAATTGCAAGATGAGTGACAAAACAGCAGCTTGATTGCCTAATAATTGGTATTAAATGAAATTTGTAGAGAAAAAAAAGAATACAGTAATGAAATTCATCAAAAAAATTCTATTATACATATGAAAATAGTAATACAATATGCTATATTTATAAAAATTAACGAGCAAAATTATCATTACTGTACAAAATTAATATCAAACACTGAGAAAGAAAGGAAACCACCAGAATATGGTAAAATTTGCGATGTTTCAGGCTGTAGGGGAAAATCAAAAATCTCGGTATTTTTTATCGAAGCGCTTTGGCAAAATTATCATTGAAAAAAGGTTTTATAATATTAGATAAAATTTGGTAATTATATGATGTAACCTTAGAACACGTAATAAAAACCTATTATTTTGTTAAATTTACTTTTTACTAATACGTGGTAATAAGAACAATAATTTTGAAAACCAGAATTTCTGGTGAACAGTTACCACATGAATTGTTTAAATATAGTACATTATTTTGGTTTTATTAACGAGAATTAGTGTATTTTTCACCAGAACTGTTATTATTATGCAGTACGGTTATTTTGCCAGAATTTTCTTCTCCATATAAAGCTAAAGGAATTTCTGCAAATTTCAATTCACTCAAAATTTGATATTTAAAAAATAACCAAAAAATTTCATGCTTATAACAATTATTAGTAAATTTAACATTAATGAACAAAATTAACATAAAAATATGTAAAGGAAACCCAGAAATCTTATGGCTTAGCAACAAATTAATATTTGTTAAATAAATGGTGATAACAATGTCATGATTATAATAACTATGGAAAAAATTATAACTTAAGAACAAAATTTAATATAAAAATATTCAAAGAAAATCTGAAGCATTATAGTCATTGGCAAATAAAATTAATAGTATATATATAATTAGTTGATCTGTTATTGCGGATAATAAAGTTATTATTAATGAGCAAAATTTTGAAAAAAATTACGCTAAATTCTGTAAAAACAATCACTAGTTTATACAAAAACGGTTTTAAGTTCTAATTGCAGCAATTACATATAAAATTATCAATAGTTCAAAAAAATATTTAAAGAAAAGTTTTTTGAATCATATTGGGTAATATCCGTTAACAATTAACGAAGTAATAAAAACGCATCTTTCACGCAAGTGGTTCTATTAATTTGAGAAATATTATCTAAAAATCTTCTATCTAAAAATCTTAAAAAATTTTCTATCACCGTAAACCTTTAAGATATGAATTTTCCTCTAATAGATATAAAACGTTGAAATTAAATGTAACACAATTTAAACTATAAATAAGATTATTTTAAAGTTAAACTTTTGCTTTATATATCATTAATAATTTTTACTTTTCAGAAGTTTTTTTCGTATTTTAGAAATAAAAATGACATAAATATTTCGCTTAAGTCTTAAAAACATTTTCAAATGATAATAAACGCAAATTTGATATGTAAAAATGAATACGACGAAAATGAGTTTGCTTGAGAATAAAAAAAATTTATAAATATAGTTGAATAAGAATATTTGAAAAAAAAGTTCATATAATGAGAATTAAATATTTTGATTAGCATCGAAAACTAATCAAAAAGTTATTAAAACTTTTCTGTACTTTTACGCGAAATTCATTTTTACTTATTCATCGTAACTAACATTTCTAACTTCGTCTTAAGTGCAAGTAAGTGCGTGCCAACAGTTAAAAGAAAGCTAAATAAAAGCAATATTAGTTAAGAAGTGTTTTTTTATTTTTGACAATGAAATATTTGGAAAGCTCATTGATCTTATAAAAAGAAATAATCCACAGACAAATGCTCGTCACTATTAAAATGCAACGAACATAATCGATTCAAGAGTAAAGTATTTTAAGGAAAAAAGCATAATTTTTAGAAAGCAAAAAATAAATGAAAAAGGAACCAGAAGTTTGAAATACGCATAATAAAAACTGAAACTGTCAAAGAATTTTTAACGAAAATTAATAGTGACGAGATTTTTTCTTAAAAAATTCGAAACACAACTTTTTCATTTTGAAATATTTTATTAGTTCTACTATAACTTCCTATCAGACAAACAGCAAAATATAATCTTCAAATCTTTCAAAACATTCTAAGAACATTTAAAAAAAAAAAATGGCGAATTATTTTTCCTAATCTTTAAAAGTAACGAAGCATATGTAATAGTAGAACATATTTTTATTTTATTTTCGCTTTCATTATTTGTAATGAAACTAATTTCATTACTTGTAACTTCTATCTGCCTTCTATATATACAAGCGAAAGTCTGTCTTAATGAATGTTCGCCAATAACTCGAGAGCGGGATAATTGATTTAGATCATGTTTATCCGTCCGTTTGCAAATTTTCATGGAGTGATTTTTAAACAATCACGACTTTCCAGCGGCTTTTAGTTTGGACTGAATATCGAAAAAACGAAATTTCATCGTTCAAACCCATTGTCACAGATCAATTTTTCCTCAATATCTTTTGAATGGCTTTATCAATTGGTGCAGCGTTTTATCGTTACAGGTTACTAATATTATTATTTTCTAATCGTTGTTGAACAGCTGACCAAAGTTCGGGTTTACGGCTACAAGTGTTCAACTCCGCACTTCGTAATTTTGAATCCGATTCAGAAGACAAAGGAACTCCTGGTTCAAGTAATGGAAGAAATTTGGCTTCGTGGAGGATTTTTGATGGAAACCAAAAGAGCTTCTTTTTTCATTTCAGCACAACTGTGGTACATCAAAAAAGTAAAAAAAAATTCTGAATATCAGGATTTAACATTTATTTAATCAAAAACTATAAATACTACTAAAAAAATTCCTACGATCAAGAAAAATTACATTAAATGTACGTATTCTGTGACATGTTAATGAGTAACATTTGTGTTGATGTAAATTTGTGTTGAATAAAGTGTTGATGAGATATTGGAAAAATGAATACGGTAGTTTTGAGAAAAAACCAGTAAAAGTTTCGGTGCACTTATTTCATACACATGTGTGTTAGGAATATTCTTTTTTATCAGAGCCGCGGTGGCTCAGGGGATGGATCGTTCACCTTCCATTGAGGTGAACCGGGTTCGAATCCCAGCAATGGCTGATCAATACGAATTCCCCACCCGGCTCGCACTGAAGACTGTGTTTACGTTAAATACCCTCAGTGGTAAACGGTCAATGAGTTAGAGTCCCGTAATGCAGATAGGGGTTAATTCCATCAAAAAGTCCACCACGAATGCAATACTTGATTCACGAGTTCCCTTGTCTTCTGGATTGTGTTCAAAATTACAAGGCTATGGAGTTGAACATTAGTAGACGTAAACTCAAAATATTGGATCGGCTGTTCAACGATGGTTATAAAATAAAATAAAATCTTTTTTATTTATAGGGGGGCTTAATTTATGTAAACTTCTGGAACAATATTCTTACATAATATAAGCCGTAGAAGTATGTATTGGATTTGAAAAAAAAGGCACAATAAAAAGACTTCTTTATAAATTTAAATTAGCTAACACTCTGTATACAACAAATTGATACTGCATCGAAAAGTTATAAATACAATATAACTTAACCATAATAGCGCAATAAGCGTGAAAATCAAAAATTACTATAATATTAAGAAATGCTGGAGAAATTAGTGATTTAAAACACATCTCTAGTGATTTCCCATAGTGATTTAAAATACATTAAGCAAATGTTAATAATAATTAAAATTAAACCTAAAAAAAATTATAAGAGTGGTTGAATACAATTCAATTACTATATTCGTAAATTGATAGCGGCCAACTGATAAAAAATTTCATGATAGCAAAATAAATACAAGAACAATTTTTAAAGATTTTCCAGGCTTTAGAAATATTTCCTAGCAATAATTAATTTACCTAACAATAGTTAAATAAATAACTCAAATATAAGTAAGTTTAACTTAATAAAGAAGTTAAACTAATAAATTTTGAAGATTTTTACCAGTAGTAGCTCTTCGCTACTACTGATAAAAATTTTCAAAACGCTTCATAATTTTTAGCTATTATTTAACAGTTTTACGTGATGTGAAAAACTTTTAATTGAATAATAAGTAAATGAACGCGAAATATATGATAACAATAGATAATGTAACAGTAAAAATTTCAACCTAAAAACTATCTTAAAACCATCTAAAAAGTCAGGGATCATTATTTAATTGCATAGTTTTAAGTAAGTAATATCGATATCGCATTTTTCAGTACCATTTATACTGCTCACCACACTATACATGATAACAACAAATTTTATAACTGCAAAACTTTCAAGATACGAGAAAGTATGTCAAAAACTATCTAGAAAATTGGAGGTCATCGTTTAATTTTTCTGTTTTAAGAAAGTGATATCGATATTGATATCGTTTATTTTACGTTTAGATTTATTACTTTAACGTTTAATTTTAAGGTTTTTTAAACGTTTAGTAAGGTAGGTAGTTTTTTACGTGTAGGTAGTTTTTTAAACGTAAGGTTTAAAAGCGTTTAATTTTATTATTTTAATAAAGTGATATTGATATCGCCTTCTAGAATACATTGCTCATCACGCTATACATGATAACAATAGATTTTATAACTGCAAAACTTTCACAATACGAGAAAGTAAGTCACAAGCTATCTAAAAAATCGGAGGTCATTGTTCAATTTTATTGTTTAAAGAAAGTGATATCGATATCGCATTTTTCAATACTATTTACATGTATCACCATACTATACATGATAACTGCAAAACTTTCAAGATTTTATAACTGTATAGTGTGGTAAGCAAACTTTCAAGATTTTATAACTACAAAACTTTCAAGATACGAGAAAGGCATCAAGATACACATGACTTTTAAGATACGGCATCAAGATACGCATCTAAGTATTATACACTGAGGAAAAATGAAATCTTACCTGACAGGAGTCTGAATTATAATCAACGAAAGGGGGTGAAGGAGTATCTCCATCCGATCCTCCCGTCGGAGATTTCTGCGGGATGTTGCTTCTCAAAGGGGGTGGACCAGGATGGCAGAACAAAGGATGGTGTCGAAGAATGTCCGAAGAGTCCAGTAACTCGTGGTCAGAGCTGGTATCGCTCCTATCTTCGTCCGAATATCTTCGCACTCTCTGATGATGAGGAGGTGAACAGGTTGTTTGGGATGCGGTGATGGAAGAGGGGGATGAGAATGGGGGTGATGTCTTACTGAATCGTTTGACTAGAAAACCCCGAGGCATAATTTTAGGGTTTCTTAAGTTTGTGATCGAAGCGATCGGTTTGTGGCGACCAAAATTCGATTGTACTTCTTAGCCATGCTTGAATTTTATTTCTCTGAAAAATATGGGAAAGACCGGACACCAGATACTGTTCCATTTACCAAAGGGTTCCATTTTGGGAAAATGATCGTGAAAAATGAAAAGTCAAAACTCAATAAAAAGCATTGACGATAGAACAGTTTGTGTAAAAGGAAAAAAAAAGTTTCTCCAATTCGAGCAGACGATAAAATAATTTCAAAAGTGACACAAATTGCTTTGTCCTTTTTTGGGTGAGAATAAAAGTTTATCAAACAATCCAATTTGCAATAACGAGTGAGTAAAACACAGTGTGGACTAGAAAGTGGGACTAGAGTAAAAAGACTAGATGATACTCATAGATGTTTAGCAATAACGATTACTCCGTATTCACATAATGATGTGTGTTGTTGCACGTCATAAAAAAAAAAGAAAGTATAACTCACAGATCAAACAACTCGCTCACGCTTTTCACACGAGACTGATGACAAGGGAGAATGTTACGGGAAATTTTATTTCCCGCTCCGAGGGGTTACCGTTCCTCTCTCGCCTCTCCAAACTCTCGCCAAGCAGAGATTGGCGCCCTTTCCGCATCTTTTGAATAACTAAGAGAAGCAACAGGGCTCATTTTTTTTTTAGTAATATCCCTTTGTTCGATGGCGTTCTTCACCCCAAAAACGGAAGCATTGATAAGCATAAATAAATAAGTTTGCTAAAGTAAAAAAAGAAATTATTCCTTGAGAAATGTTTATACATTCTCACTAGTGTGTTTTAAAACTAATCATTCAAATATTAAATGTATTTTTTTTTAGTTGTTAGAATGGTAAAAATAACTTTAAAAAAGGTGTCGATTAATATAAACAGTGATTTTCTTCAAAAAAGAAATTATTTAAATAAACGTATTTTTGTTTTACATAAGACATTAATTTAAGCATAAAATATTTTTTGTTCAATATAATTAATAAATACATTCCTTATCAAAGTGGGATTTTTTTAGTTTGATTTCAGTAATAATGAAGGTGTTTTACTAAAAAATAATGAAAGGGATATGAATGTAAATATTTACATGCGCATTCTCTCATTAGTTTATTTATTTATTTATTTTTTTTGAAATGTTGATTTAAATAAATAGTGATTTTCTTCGAAAAATTTTCTTTTATTCAAATAGACTTATTTTTTTACAAAAAACATTGATTTAAGAATAAATTTTTTTATACAATATAACTAAAGAATACATTATTTAAGGGACATTATTATAAATTTTTTGTTCCTTATTCTATATATATATATATGGAATAAGGAACATTATTCTAATATCATTCTACACATTAAATTCCTTCCATCATTCTGTTTTTTTTTTTTTTAGTTCCCATTTATAATTATTTTTTTTATTTATCTTTCTTCTACCATTCTTTTCATTATTTAAAATTCTTCAATTTATGCAAACATCGCATAATTGATTTATAAATCCCTAAAAAAAATTTTTAACCTTCATCAAAATAGTTTCATAAAAGAAAAACTTTTTTCGAAAACTTTTAAAAATTCGCCAAAAAAGTGATAAATTGCCAAATCTTTCATCATATATTAAAGATAGGAGGATTCTGTTCCACTGTTGGTGATTTGAAACGTTTAAACTCCTCCTATTGAGTAAAAGATTTGCGCTGTAGAGAATCTTCCCGGCATTTGTGGAAATATGTGGTGGGTGGGATTTCATTGGACGAGCCACAAATCAGGTTAATAAAAGAACATCATTACAAAAGAACTCTCTCTCTTATTTTTCTTTTTTAATTTTCAAGCAAGTACATTTTTTTATTTTCCTGCTTGAGTAGGAAATATGCAAAAACAATTGAAACAGAAGAATATTATCAGAAATAAATGCGTTTTATGAGTTGGCTGTCAAATTGTAATGAATCGATGTATTTGTTCAAAAATAGGTTTGTTCAAAATTTTTAAAAATTATTTTTAATTGTTTCAGATTGATTCAAGTCATAATCTTAAAATTTTTCAAGTCTTTTTAAATATAAAACCTGCTTTTTTACACTTAATTTTTTTCATATTTTGAATTTGAGAGCAACTCTTTTAATGCAAGTATCATTTTACGATTTTTGGAACCTTTTTAACAAGGAACGATGCCATCTGACATTTACCATTTAGTATAATTTTTACATAAAGATTCCAAACGTCATTTACCAATTACAACAATTTTGGCACACCGAGTGTTCATAGTTAAGAATTTTTGTTCATACATCATTTAAAGAGTGTTCATACATTCAAATTGTTTTTAATTATTTCAGATGGATTAAGGCCCGTATCTTAACATTTTTCAAATATAAGTTTTTAAATGTAAAACCTTCTTTTTTTACATTTCATTTTTTCATATTTTGAATTCGAGTGCATCGCTTTTAATATAATTACTATTCTATGATTTTTGGAACCTTTTTAACAAGGAACGAAACCATTTGATATTTACCATTTATTTTAATTATAATAATATATTTAATATAACGATTCCAAATTTCATTTACCAATTACAATAATTTTTATACACAGAGATTTCATACTTAAGAATTTTTGTTCTTACATTTATTTAAAGAGTGTTCATACATACAAATTATTTTTAATTGTTTCGGATTGAATAAAGCCATAATTTTAAGGTTTTCAAAATATAATTTTTTAAATGTTAAAAACCTGTTTTTTTTTTCTTCTTTTTCTTTCTTTCTTTTTTTACATTTGATTGTATTAAAATTTTGAATTTTAGTCCAGTGCTTTTAAAGCAATTATCTTTTTAGGATTTTTGGAACCTTTTTAACAATGTATGATACCAACTGACATTTACCATTTATTATAATCTTTATAAAAAGATTCCAAATGTAAGGATTTTCTTCTAAAGGATTCCAAATGACAGTTACCAATTACGTTTGCTTTTCTAGACAGAATGTTCGTACTTAAGAAATTTTTTTAATAATTCTCAGTAGTTATTGGGAAATCAAACAATTTTATTATGTTAATTTACTTATATATATAACTGAATTCGTGAAAATTGATCTATACAATTCATTTAACAGACAAAATTTGTCATAAGGTTATAACAAATATTAAAGGCAAACAATTTCATACTTAAACAAGTTTGTTACACTTAGCGGTATTCTCACCATTGATGATTTCTTAAAATTTTTTTAGGTGCTCTTGTCTGATATTTCCTACACTGATGTTTTTCTGAATCGGGTATTATTCATAATTATCAACTAAATTGGTTAAAAAAAATTTTTGTTTCATTAAAAAATATTTCTTCGTTAAATAAAGATAATGTTGTTTTTCTTCCGTTGTTCGTGCAATAATATTTTTTTTTAAATATGCGCTGCTTCTTTTACAGTGATTTTCATATTTTATTTCTTGCCTAAAAAGCATCTGTTATTGTCTACGAGGTAAAGTATATAATAATAGGTAAAAAAATAGTAATTATAGTACTTTGAATTGAAAAAAAGCCCGGCATTAATTGGGATACTAGCATAGCAGTAAAATACACATAATATTTCTAGATAAATATAAAAGAAAAACACACGGGAATCAACATGGAGGGAAACAATAATAAAAGACCATTAGCGGTTATAAGGAAATAAAATATAAACTGATACGTTTTCCATAGTTCTATAGTTCTCAAAATTGCTTATTTTTAAAATAATTTATTTTAAATATCTACTTGTTTAAAAAAGTAAATATTTTCGACATTGATGAGCAGAGCTATGATGTGCTTTTCTGCATTTTTGTATTTTTCCTTTCATTTATAGTGCAATATTCATGGATTTTTCTTTCACTTTATAGACTTTTCCCCTTTTTTAATCATTCTTGGTACGAATTTTGAATGATATCAAAAGCATTTTGTATATTTAATTTTGCATGTTGCTGTTTCTTACTATTTTGGAAATCCTCTAATAATAAAGAATATAAAAAAGTATGAAGGGCATAAGAAAGCTTTAAGAATATAAAAATACAAAAGTTTATAAGTAAGAATTATATAAAAATGCGAAGAATATAAAAGAATATGTCTCTTATTGAAGATTGTTTCTAAATATTAATAAATTCCTCAATACCTTTATCAGGTATTCATTTAAATTTTTCATTTTACTCCTAAATTAAAAATTTATTTTAATTATTTTTGCTATATATATATATTGTATTGTAAAACAAAAAGTCATTATTTTTTATGGTTTTTCGATGCTTTTTGAATATTTTGAAGCAAATTTAGGTCATATTAACATCCTATCCCTTCTAATCAAAAAATTCAAACTGACTTAAATACAATGTCTGTTTTAAAAAAAAAATCTTTGAAGCGTGAAAGCATTTGTTGCATTGGCATTGCGTCACGTGTTCCTTTTGTCTGATAGGTCAAATTATTTCTCATTAACAGCTGTGTGTTGGTTAGGGTGTTACTGAAGGGTTGTTTAAGAGCCGATGACAGCGACTAACAGGTGGTGCAAATATGATGAAGAGACAATGTCAACTACCCCTATCGCCTTTTGTTTCACTTTTTAACTTAAAAAGTATCAAATTGGAACTTAAACAGAAAAAGATGTGAAATTGTTTCATTATTGAATTATCAATTCTAATCTGAGGATCATATGAAGTTCAAACAATTTTTATTAGCTCAAAATGAGATTTGCCTAAACATGAATATTCAATAAAAATTAATTTGAAATCCTTCGTGAATGCTGATTTTGGGCACATAAGTTTCTACTTTCTTTCGTTTTAATTTTAGTTTTTCTTTTACCAATTATGATTACAGCTGTCACCTTGTTGTATCCAGGATGTTTCGTAAGGACCACCCTGAATACATATTTTTAAAATCCTTGTAAAAAATGAAAATAAAGGAGAATACAATACACACGGGTTTTTTAAATAAGACTTAAGTGCGGAAAAAACACAAACGCTTTGAAAATCTGACAAATCACTGTAGAGAAAAGCGAATGTAACTAATATCAAAACAAATTAAAGTAAAGGTTAAAAGTTGATGGTGCTCCTAGTAAAAGTTTTTCCTCACCCGCGACTAAGCCTATAATGGTGTTTCTTACATTAGCGTTCCTGCACAGCAATTTTTCAGATTTCGATATCGTTTTAATTTTTTTCCCTAGTTTAAAAATTAATTTTCGATTGTCTTCTTCGTTTTTATTTCTGATCAGGATTCCGAATATACCCATTGCGGGCAGTTTTCAACCCTGTCAACACCCTGTATGTTTCTGTGATATAGTTGTGAGCTTTTTCAAATCAATTTTTCTTAAGTGTCAAGCGCAAAAAAAATACGTAAATTGTGTCAAAAACCTTGTAAAACTTTTAATTTAACATCTATTAAACTTCATCTTTCAAATATAAAACAGTTGAGTTGATGTTTCTATTAACTAGTGTTTCTCTCTAGTTTTTATCCTAATTATTTGACTTAAAATGTATCACCAAAATGAAATTATTACAAAGAATGCATTTTCCTGTAT